CTGCCCACAAGGAGTGGGGAAAGGTGACCAGATTAATGAATAGCCCCAGTTAGATGAAGGCAAATAGGTATGCAAGGGTCCGCACAGCCAAATTTCATTTCTCGTAAGATAAAAAAAAATTGGGAACAAAGATGTCTTTGTTACCCTGTGACTCTTCTTTCTGGTTAAATGGTCACAGCACAGTGAGCTCAGACACCCCTGAGCAGCATGGAAGCCAGTTCTGCTGAGTGTGAAAGATTCTGTCCCAAAAGCTCGTTCCACAGATTCATGAGTGCATGGAGACTTGTATCCACACGAGGCACTGTTGCTGTGTTTTTGTTTTTAAAGAAAAAGTCTTGTGAAACTCATGTGCTCACCGGCCTGGCTGTTTTGGGAATAGCAGTGCTAAAGGTCATTAGAAGAGTTCAGTTCTAGTGTGTGTTCTCCAGATGATGGGGAGCCCCTATTGAGAAGCCAAAGGATGAGCAGAGAGCCGACCTGCAGGCTGGGAGGTGTGATGCTTGCGGACCTTAAATTGCAGAACAGATGAGTGACAGGACATCAACTTTCTTTAATATTTTCTAGATGCGAATGGTATATAGAAAAAAGCAGGGTGGGAGGAGGGAAAAAAAGTCTGTGAACATACACCGTGACCTAGCTTCCTTCCTGCACAGAAACCTCACAGAACTAAGCACATCTGAACTTCAGGGTAAAGTCCCTGTGATTGTCAGCAGTTAGCAGCGCAGTGTAATGAAGGAGCCACTGGCCTGAAAGGCACAAAGGGTTCCAAAACCAGCCTGCAAAAAAGTTGTAGCATGGGTTCTTGCCAGGTCCTGTGCTTTGGTCAAAATAATCCTGCGCAATGCCACAGGCATGGGGCAAAATGGCTGGAAAGCTGCAGAGTGGAAAAGGACCATGGAATGCTGGTCAACAGCAGCCACCAGGAGCAGGGGAGACCTTATCACTCTTTACAGCTGCCTGAAGGGAGGTTGTGGTGAGGTGGGGGTTGGCCTCTTCTCCCAAGTAGCACTGACAGGGAATGGCCTCAAGTTGTGTGAGGAGGGGTTCGAGTCGGATATTAAAAAAACTTTCTTATTTGAAAGAGCAGTGAGGCATTGGCACAGGCTGCCCAGGGAGGTAATAGAGTCACTGTCCCTGGAGGTGTTTGAAAACAGCGTAGATGTGGCACTGAGGGATGTGGTCAGTGGGCATGGTGGGGGTGGGCTGGTAGTTGGACTTGGTGATCTTTAAAGTCTTTTCCAGCCTTTATATTCTGTAATTCCTGCCCATGCAGCTGACAGCTCAGGCATTGCCTCAGCTGCTGCTGGCAGTGGAGCAGAGAGCAGGCACTAGCATTGCCTGCCTTCAGCTCACCTCTCTTTGCTCCGGTAGATGGACAAAGGCGGTACGCCCAATGTTTGTATTGTGCCTCTCCTGCCTAATCTGTGTTTCAGCTGGCCAAGCAATCACCTGGCATGCTTCCTACACTTCTAACATTGCTTCAGCTAAAGCAAACAAAAAACCTTATGTAATAGTAACTCCACCTGTCTCTGCTGGTAGGCTTTAGCTTGTGGGTGCTTTGGCGGGGGACCCACAAGCTGACGGAACCCAGGTCTTTTATCTGTGTGCTAAAACTAGCTGTAGTGCTTTAGCAGTAGGAAAAAAAACATAAGGCTTAGCAAACAAGAGAAACAATCAGCCTCGTTAAAGAAACTTGTCAATGGAAGAACAGCCTTTGCACCATTTTTGTATTTACATTCTCTACAGAGAGTGAACTTTGGTGTTGGTTACTAATGTTGTGGTGCTAGGCAATGTCTCACACGTTGTTAAATAAATATTTCAAGTGCAAATAAGGACTTGCTACAGAGGGAGCTTTCAGCACGTTCACGTTTCTTACTATGAAAGTGCAGATATGGCACTTGGCATTTTTTACTGTAATCTCCCAAATGTTGAGGCAAGCCCACTGACTGCGAGAGATAAACAGTTCACACCTGTGGGCAGGAAGCAATGAATACCCACAGTACATAGAGAAAGTCAGTCTCACTTCCTTAGAAACTTTTCTGTAATAACTCTTGTGATGTAATGCCCCTTCCCTGAAGGGCTGAGAAATAAAAGTCCCCGTTGCTTGGATGTGGGTGGTTGATGTGGGTTTTTTCTTTCGGATTTTTTTTGTTGTTGTTTGTTTTTTTGATTCATGTTCAAAGTCACCAGTAAGGCAGTGAAGGGCTGCTGCACGCGATGTGCCAGAAGAGGCAGGGAAGTGGATTAGGAGGGGATCTCAGCACTGTTGCCAGCTGGATGCATGGGGCACTTACAGAAAATACAGGCGGGTTCTGCTCAGAGACTTGCAACCTGAACACAAAAAGCCACTGTCATGGGTTGCAGCAGGGAAATCCCGATTCGATATATGAGGGAAGAGCTTTCAGTGGGAGTGGTCATGTGTGAGGTGACCCTGTTATCAGCTTGGAGCGTTGGGTTGGACAAGCTGAGCTCCAGAGCCACCAGCCAAGAGAGGCTGTTGCATGGGTCTGAGCCTATGAAACCAATGTGCAGACCTGTACCCAGTCGTAGAGGTGGCTGCGGGAGGAGCCCTTCTGGGGTCACATTTTCTCTCTTACGGTCAGGAATATCTTGCTCTAGCAGAAAATAAAGCAATAAGGTGGAGCTATCAGATGGGATGAGTCAGGCAGCTTCCAGCAAGAAGGTACTCAGCTTTTACCTCTGTGTGGCAATAGCCATTCTTCAAGAGGAAGAACTCTGTTTACCCAGTATTTGGAGAGGTTTTTATTCCAGGAATGGAAAAAATTCTGGTGCCTTCAGCTGTGTCTGTTCACAAAACCACAGAACTGCTGTGTCACAAAGGTCTGGGTCAAAGCAAATTCTGCAATGTAAGTAAGCACTAATGTAGATGCTGCTGGGGAAAGGAATGTTGTCATTTTCATTTCATTGTAAGTACCATTCAAAGTATTCTTAAGCAGTACTGTTTCTTATATGTTCTTATTTATTTAAATGTGCTATAGATGTGTTGCACTCAAGATGAGTATGTCCATATGGGTGTGTGCAGCTGCCACTCACTAAAATGTAATTGTCTTTATCGCAAAGAGCACTGGGGAGACATGATTGAAGTTCATGAGAAGGAAAATGTTACAGATAAAACATGGGGATTATCAGTGGGTGTTTCAATAATGGTGAAATTATGCGAAGAGATTGCATTACATTGCCAGGCCCAATTACAGAACAAGCACTATTGATGGTGTGTGGGAAGCCCTGACCTTTTCCATGACCCAAGTGTTTCTTTCACCATTTAGCCATAGCAAGAAGCAGTCTTTCTGTATTTGGAAGGGAGAACCAAAGGGGCATCCAGCCTGGCCCCAGTCATGCAGCCACCCAATCCCAGCTCTGGGAGGTCTTGCCATCATGGGAGGTGCTGCCACCAGCAGTGATTCTGGCGGAGCTCCAATCTTGGGTCCTGGTAAGGTGTGTTGGTACAATTCAAGTAAGTAAATACACAACCTGTGACAGGTGTGACTAAAATTTGATGGCATTTCAGCCTGCTGATCAGTTCATAAAAGTTCCCTATTCCCACACTTGAGCTCATATAACATGATGAAATGCTCATTGTGTGTGCTGTGGGGAATTTCTTAAAAGTCATTGAATTTCGAAAATGTGTTTGGTAAGTGGACAGATAAAAAATTCCCAGAAAGCAATGCCAAGACTGCCTCCCCACCTTCTACCTTTATTTTCTTTTCTTTCTTTGTTTTTTTTTTTTTCTTTTCTGCATTCCTTCGCAGCTAACACCACATTCTGGTAACTAGCTATTCAGAGTTACACATCTACAGTTTTAATGTGCTTGCTGCGAATTCAGTGCGCGCATGATGATGTGCATGTGCTCAGCTGAAGTCACCAAGACCAGATTCTTGATTAGGTTGTGTTCAGTTTGCCTACTGCAATCAAATGCCTTTTGATCAAAAAAAACCTTAATTTGCACAATAACTTGCACTTTTTTTCATCCTGGCAGCGTTTTCTTCTGTCTTTTTCCCAAAGTCAAGGTGAGGAGTTCGGCAAGTTTCTGCAGACAGAGATGACTTGTTCCTGCAACCAGGTGGTTTCTACCTTGGTTATTCATTGGTGGGCATTACTACTGTGTGCTGCTCTACACTGTGCATGTTTGGGTTGTCTCTTCTTGCCCACTGATGTGAGTGTGCAGGAGGTGAAGGCACCTGGCTCATGCTGGGATACCCAGTGTGCCGGCACTCGGCATGACCACATTGTCCATACCGCCCATCAGGCAACAACTGGCCTCCTGAAGGCTGGCACACACAGCAATAAAGGACCTACCAGCACAGAGTGAGATCACTTTATCACAAGCCCAGCATCCCATTTTGGGGCTGTGGGATATGCATACCAGTGGTACAGCATTCAGAGTTGCCGTGGTGCACACAGTGTGGCAGTACGCCCAACGTGTGCCCAATACGCAGTGGCACTTTGACCAGTGGGCTGGGCTCAGCCAGCCCCAGCCTCCAACCATCTCTCCACAGCAAAAACTGCAGCAGTTTCATGTCCCCGTGTCCCTCTGATGACATGATCCTAAATGGCATCCTGCACTGAATGTTCTGACAGCCTTCACTCTTGTGTTCGACCCCAAGACAGGCCACCAAGATGACATCTCATCGCTGTTTTGTGTTATTCCAGCAAGATTTTGTGTTCTGCAGCACTGAGTGACTGGCAAGCTGAAAAACAATATCCTAACAGAGCGAAGACGCAAGCTTGTGTGACATATTTTTGGGATAAAGCAATATTGCCAGACATTTGGGAATTAGTCCCTGAAAAAAAAGGACATTTTTCTCATTGGTTTGCTTCATAATTAGTTCCAAACTTCAGAATGAGTGCAGTTTCCAAGTAGGAACAATTGCTTGTGTTTAATTTAGAACAACTCATATGTTTCTCAACTAAATTAAATCAAAGCCACAACAGGGACTTTATAAATGGAGAAGTCATTTTAATAATTACTTCCTCATAAGACATGCCCAAGAGGAAAAGAGATGCTCTCAGTCATGGAGCTGCTCTCCTAAGCATGAGGGGGATCAGGCTTTCCTCTCTCTGCTTTCTGATGCACCTGCTGCAGGACAAGATAAGCAGTAAGTAAAGGCTTTCAATTTTCTTCCTACCTGGGGAGGAGGGCTGGGTCTGTTCACAAAGCTGGGCAAGTCAGGAAATCTCTGGATACAGAGGCTGGTTTCAGAAGTCCTGTCATTTCCAAATTAGTCTCATTTTGTCTTTCAAAATGCAGCTGAAAGGAGTGTGATGTTCATCACATTTACTTACAGTTCTGTTACCAGCTTCAGTTCAATTCTGTGTGTCTGAGTCTCTGGTTTTGAGATATACTGCAGATAAAACTGTGGGCACAGTAAGTTAGGTGGGTCATGAAATCCAGAAACCTGTTAGGATTTGGATGCTTCAGGAGTGTTAACTGATTTTGTCACCTGTATCTGTTTCACTTTGGAAACAGCTTATCTTGAAAGCTGCCAGACAGCTTTTTCCATCAGTTCAGATGAGAAAAACAGTGAATGTTATACTATTTTATTAGGCAAGAAAAAACAAACACAGACGTGGTAACTATTAAAACATAGATACCGTACACTATACACCATTGTTAAAATGTAGTTCCTGCAGGCTAAATCTGAGATAGGAAGGACAGAGCACCTAAGCACCTACCTTTAACTACTGGTGCAGCTGTGTACTGCATGCTTTAGGAGCCGATCGGAAGGGTTTGTCTGCTGGGGTGTCCACTGGGCATCTTTAATGGCAGTAAATTCAATTATGAAAGAAAAAAAAGAAAAAAAAAAAAAAAAACCACCAGGATTTGTTCCTTTCACAATCCTGGCTGTGGTCTGTAATTTCTACATCTGCTCACTGCAACGTGGAAAGTTTGGAACATGAAACCCAGATTGAACTTCCCTACCAGCTGCCAGCCTAGAACCACCCGAGCAGCGTGTGCCTGGATGCAGAGGTGCCTGCCTGAGAGAAATGTGTGCTGTCACTGTTCCTTACTATTTGCAGCCATTCCAGTCCTGGAAAATCGAGACCTGCAAGATGCAATCAAGCCACGGGGGGTACGGTTTTACTCACTGAATTTCAACAATACCCTGCGCTGGTTGCCTGGAAGGGCTGGAGAGGGAGAAACCACGCTCTACTTTGTGCAGTATAAAGTGTAAGTGCCGGGGGAACTCCAGCATGCCTCATCCAGCAGCAGCCTATCCCTGCTTGGCAAGCCAAAGGGATCTCTCAGGTGCCAAAGGATACCTGGGGCACAGCCATGTCCTTCACGGCTGCCAGCTCCCTGCACTTATCACAAGCCCGTAAAGTGCAGCTGAGCAGCCTGAAGGACATTGGAGGTCAAGCACGTCTAGCAACGTGACACACACCCTCATGGCACCTCAGCATGGCACATACATGCAGTTTGTGTGGGGGGCCTCTGAGACCATCAGCCTGCCCCAGGCAGGTCTGGCAGGCCAGGCATCTTGCAGGAGCACAGTCAGGGGTTCGGTGGCCACTGTGCCACAGGGTGCAGTGCTGCTACCTGTTCCTCAGAGGGAGCCTGCTCCACAAGGGAGGCCTGGTCCAGTCCAGCACCTCACAGCATGAAAGCCTTTGGTTCCTTTGGGGAATAGACTGTTACAAGTCTGCACAAATCTGTTTGATGATAGCTAGGGCTCGCATTGCTCCTCCTTTCCCCAAAGGTATGGGCAGAGCAAGTGGCAAAACAAAGAAGAGTGCTGGGGGATTCAGAGCCATTTCTGCGACCTGACAGAGGAGACTTCTGATGCCTATGAGGCTTACTACAGCAGGGTGCAAGCCGCTTCCACTGATGTCCGCTCCGACTGGAGCCTCAGCTGCAGGTTCACTCCCTGGAGAGAAAGTAAGTGCAAACACACGGGCTCTCTGAGCATGGGGCTGGGTTTTCTGCAGCATGGAGCACAGCATTTTTGCTCCCAAACTGCTGTCAGAAGTGATCCCCTTCTAGATAGAAGACTGTACCAAAAGAAGTTGTGTGTCCACAGCTCTCAGGTGAAGTGTTTGCGACATAATAACTTTCCCCACACTTGAACCAATTTCAGATGAGCAGCATCTTAGCTACAATTCGGGGATCAGAAATCCCTGGCTCCCTTCCACTCAAGCTCTCCCTCATGGAACTCCACAAAATACTTGCAGCAGTTTTGGGGGCTGCTGGAAGGATTGAGCACAGTGTGAAGAAGGAAATGTTCTCTGCCAGAGGGAAAGGGGAGAAGAGAGAAGGCAGCTGCATAGCCAACAGCCTTCTCACATGCATGAGTTCTTCCCACATGTATTCTCCTGGCAGTGGTATATTTAGAAAGGGCGCACACAGAGCTTTTAGTTAGTACAGCCATTGTAATTCCATAGTGCACAATGAAGCTGCAGGACTGTTAGCACACTAAGCAGTATCAATACTTTTACCAGTAAGCTCCCATAAATTATCAATATTTTACCTCTCTAGTCAATGTAAAACTGAAGTGTAGTCACCAACACAAGTCACTTCACAGCCCTGAAGCACAAACTAACTTGTTCTGTGTAGGCAAGACCGCATGCTTTGAGCTAGAGCTGCATCTTGCAGCAGCAGCAGCTCACCTTGCCCTGCACCACATCCTCCTGAGAAAATGTGGGGCAGCCACTGCCTTCAGGGGTACACAGGCACCATGTGAAACCTCAGCTGTCTTTAACCAAGCAGGCTCCATGAGTTCGAAGAAGAATGACTGAAGCTGTCCTTGACCTGAAATGGTTCAAACATTTCTGCAGCTCAAGATAGCAGAAAAACATGAAGAAAAAGAATCAGGGCAAAGAATCCAAAGCATTCTGTTCTGTGGATCATTATTAATAAACATGCTACAATCATACTCACAGCTTTGTTTATACCCTTAGCTATGATAGGACCTCCAACAATAAAGGTGGTTCACAGCAACAAATTTGTAATACTAAAGCTCCAGGCTCCACGTTCGGCTTATAAAAGGAAGAGAGGCAGCATGATACCAATGACAAATTATTATGATCTTCTGTACCAAGTCTTCATAATTAACAACTTGCTAGATGGGGTAAGTACATATTCAGATATAAACTCTTTACCATTGAAAAGCCAAGAGAATATAGGCACACTCTTCCCTTTTACAGCCCTCTGGGATTGGAAGAGTGTAAATGGCTGTGTATCTAAACACGAAGTAAGCTTATTTTTCAGGAATTTAATTTGGTTGAACTGGGTTGTAATTCATCCCCACTTTCTTCATTCCCATTGGTGTAGTATTTCAGAATCTAAAGCCTAGTTGAAACAGTTGGGAAATGAGGGCAATTTGGGGTGGTTTTTTTTTTCGAGAAAGAAAACAACACCAAAACTAACACATAAATAACTAATGCTAGTTAATGTTGTTGACTTAATGCCAACCCATGTGTTGCTCTGAACTTTTCATCCTTCCCAGCTTAGTCATAGACACACATGCATGACCAGCTGTTTCTCCTCCCTCTGTCTGAAGCAACACAGCGTGCTGGTGTATGAAGGAAAAGACAAAGTGATCAAAATAGAAGACCTGAGGCCGGGAATCAGCTACTGCATCGTGGCTAGAACATCAGTGCTGGTGCTGGGCCGCAGCAGTGCCTACAGCAACAGACAGTGCACTGTGCTGCTGTGACCAGGTGGCCGCTGCCGCAGGCCAGAGCCAGAGAAGATGCAGCAAGCTGACACCCACCCGCTCCCCAAAAGGAGAAGGTGGCACATGGCAGGAACGCTGCTGTCTCAGAGGGCATCGTTTGCCACAGTTCTTGCATCTTCTTGGCTCGTTTCACTCCAGACGAGAATGATAAGCCCAAAAAGGTTAGAAGAACGGTGTGGATAATTACTTGCATGCTGTCAGAGTGCTCAGAAATGCCTCCCTCTTCCCTTTCTTCAACCAGTTATGCATAATATTGTTTCCTCAGTTTTTATTGCCATCATGCAATTATTAACCAGGAAAATGAGTGGTCTCCAGCTTTGTTAACAGGCAATTCTGCTGCAACATCTCTAGGGATTTACCCAGTGTGTTTAGTCTAGATGTACCCATCCTCACTTAATGGCCATTATTTAGGTATTATGTGTTTAAAAATGAGTCGTTTATGAAATTTCATGAGTTTCTATGAGCCAGAATGCAAGAGTTATTTCAACTAGCTGGTCTGAATAGTCTATTTTCTCACCTCAATCACTGTATTATATTAATGTATCACTTGCTCAGCAGAGAGATTTACTATTCATCCTGCCTTGCAGGTGCCAAGGTGCAAAGCACATTAGGACATCTGTGACATTGGCCACAGCAAGCTTAAGTTTAGGTCCTTTCTAAGAGAGAAAACTAGGAAATCTTCAGACTTTGAGCCTGGGTGCATCCTGGCTATAGCATGACTGTAACAGATTTTCCTTCTTCTACTTCCTCAAGTGATGCATAACATCAGTCTTTCTTGAGATACAGTCAATAGCTCAGGCTAAGGAGCTTGTTTCTAGGTGATTTCCCTACACTGATGAAGAGCTTTCCCTGTACTGTACAAGGCAGAACAGCTTACAGAGGTACAAGAGGGGTGTAGGCAGAAGGCATCTTCAGTTGAAGTTCATAGCATGCTGCTTAAACATGCACTGCAGCAGCAGTTCTTTCTCTTCCCAGTTACTGCAATAACAGTGGAGGCTGCCTCCTGTTACAGGCCCAGCTGTAAACTGACATCTGGGGTCTAGAATATGGCTGGACTACATATGTGGATGCTTTTTTAAATTAAACTTTGCTGCATTAAATAATTAATTTTATTAATCATTTAATGTTACACAAATCCCAAGGATTCTTTGTATGCCCTATAGCACAATTTAAGACAATATGTATCTGCATTTATATTGTAATAAAAAAAATGTGAAAACCACTTGTGAAAATATCTTTAAGATTGTTTCTACGGTTTTCTATTTTAAAACTTGGAGTTAAAATATGATTTATGAATTAGAAGTTTCAAACACTTTGTTCCTTCTATAACAAAGGTTGTAGAAGAAAGTGAAATAGAAGTCCTTTAAAATGTGTGCCCAGTGCTATGCCTTCATAGTGTCCTCAGTGTAACATTTCTGGTAGTGAAACCATTGTACAATTAGACAGGAAATCATGTACACTGAAACGGAAAAGATCCTTGCTTTCAGTTAATGATAGACATTTATTGGGAAGAGACCTCTATTTTAAACCAATAATGATGAACAAACTCTATCCATCACCTGTGATTTCCAACGATTCAACTCTTCCTTGTCTTTGTCTCACAAGAGAAAAGTTTTCCTGGGCAAGGACTGAGTAGATACACACTAAGCCACCAATGGAGAAGGGAAGTGGCTTTTGCCAGTTCTACTAGGTCTGTAACTAATAATAATCTTTGCACTTAACATCATTCTACTATTGGGAATTATATGAGGCAGTGAGAGAGGGCCAGGCTTAAGAAAGCAAAGTTTTACGCTTGGGTAAATGGAGTTCCCTGCTACATAGTTGCTCTCCACTTTTCCCATAATTTACAGATACTGGGGTGAATTTTTTTGTCATCAGCACCTCACCTACAAGCAGCACTGCTGAAAGCAGCAGCAGGATGCCAGCAGCAGGAATTGGGGAAGAGGCCGTGTTTAAGTAAGTGAATGCCGGTCACTTGTGCCCTTACCAAAATGAAAAAAGACATCACATATTAAATATTTCTGCCATCTGATTCTAACACGATGTATTTGAATGACTTCTCTGGCAAGAATCTAATCATGTCCACACAGTCCATAAAATCAGGTTTCCTGCTCAGTGCTTCCCTATTTACTCCTCTCCCTCTTCTTCCACTGGTTTTACTGTGCCCCTATTGCACAGTTTCTTAATTCAGTTACATTTATTTGGGAAATGAGACTACTTAAACCTCGAAACAATACCAAGCCCCATGACAAATTCCAGATCTCAGCAACTGCTGATAAGTTGCAAGAACTGCATGCAACCTGCACAGTGCTGCCCTGCTCTACCCCTTGCACTGGGCAGAACCTCCATAAAACTGCTCAGGCAAAGTGTTAGGAAACAGCACGTTGTGTATTGCAGCACTGGTGACTTCATCCACTTGTGGCTTATCACAACCTGAAGATATTTGCAGTAATTCAAGTTCTTTCTCAAATTCACTTCTTGCCTTAGTGCAGCTCATTTTACCCTTGTTAAACTGAGATAAACTTTTATTATGGTCACATCTACTAATCCTGGTCAGGGAACAGTCTCTAGATACTGTACCCATGTCAGAGCATAAAAATGTTTAGGACTCTAAATCTTCAACAGAATTTATAAAGAAGAAGATGCCTGAAGAGTTTGGACCTGGCTAGAAATGTAGTAGGTGCCATGCTATAGAATCATAGAATCCTCAGAGTTGGAAAGAACCTTTAAAAGTCATCTAGTCCAACTCCCAACTCCTATGGACTCACAGAAGTTGGAAACCAAATTATTTTTCTTTTTTAACTTGATAAAATTATACAGAATTGTACAATGGGAAAAAGAATTAGAAATCTGAAGAAGTCTTGTGCTGTCATATTTGCTAACAAGATTTCACTTCCTTACCAACAACACAGCCTTACAGAAAGTGGTGCAAGAGTTGCAGGAATTGCTTCCATTCTGAAAGCAACTTGATTTATTATTAACAACCGCATGATGTTCTGCAAAAGTCAATTTTCTCTTTCTGTTTGGAATTTGAATTTATTTTTGGCATGGCTTTGCAATGTAATTTTACTAGGGAAGGTTCTGGTAAAATGGTTAGTGCCATATTTTTTCTCTACAGGCAGCAATAGTGCCCTTTTCCTACAACAATGGGTTTGCAGAACAGAGGGTTCATGAAGGTACCAACTGCATGATCTGCACCCACAGCACCTAGACAGTGCTGGTAATGCTGTTGCTTCCAAAAACAAAATTTTGGATGCCTTACCCCGTATGCTGCACTGCTGTTAATATCTCTGTGAAGGCAAAAAGGAGGAATAACTTTCTCCTAGGCTCTGAACTACAGCGGGGCTTTCCTGAAGGCAAGACAGTTTGGAAATAATTGGAAAAGTGAATTCTGGCTTTCTCCCCCCTTCCTTCTCATGGGTACAAGGTTGTCTCTGGTGTGGGTCCACCTCTCAGAGCTGACATGTGGGGTGTTCAGCACATGTGCACACAAGGCAGGATGCCTTCAAGTTGTTGGCTTGATCCCCAGAATGGGGCTGTCCATGTAGAACACATGCTGGAACTCTCCTGGCCTCTTCTCTGCTGCAAACCATGGAGGGCCTTCTGCAATGAAGCCTGAATAAGGTGGAGGAGAGTAGTGTCCATGCAATTCCACTACAAGCCATTGCCTCAAGCACCTTTCTAGCATTTGGAGAGAGCTAGGCTCACAAGCCAGCCTTTCAGAGCCTCTGATTGTGGAGGGTGCCTGGCAGGATCCATCTTCTAATGTAGGCCATGGCTAAGGCTCATGAGATTACAGTTGCTGACATTTTCAGCTAACCTGTACTTCTGGCAAGCAGTTTGCAGGGTCCAGCTGAAAACCCCCTCCCCCCAGATTTTTTCCCACTTGCAGAGCAGACACTTCTAAGCAAAGAGCCAAAGCCTGGGTTGAAACTAGATGATCATCACTGCCCTCTTTAACCCAAGTCATTCTATGATACTACAATTCTATAAAATACTGGTTACTAGAGGCACAGCATTTCCATAAAGTGGAAAGATGAAGCAGAAGAACAAAATCAGGACTTGCACAATTTGTTCTCTAAGATCTCGCCTGCTGCATCACTGGGGATGTCCACAGTCACACACACAGCCTGCTGCAGTGGCCTCATGTGACCACGTCCTCCTGTCACAGCTGGGGATCTTGCCAACAAGAAATAAATATTACATCTTTTAGAGTACGCCATTATTGATCTTCCTGTGAAGTGGAGCCCATCCCACAAGGCCAGCCCTTTCTACCTCACCATGCTGAACATTACCTTATCTGTGGAATAGAGTAGCACCTAATCTCCCACTGTAAATGATATCAACTTCCTGTTCCACTGGCACACACAACTGCAATATTTGACTACTAGGCATTCAGTAGCAGACTTCTGGAAAAGCTGATGGAGCAGCAGCAGCAGAAGCAGATGCTTCAGCCTTATAAATTAGGAGAATATTATGCATAGCCAGCTGTACCATACAGATGCCCAGTTTTATACGATGCCATGATCCTTGGTGTTCATCATATGGTCTAGCTGGGCCAACCCTGTTCACATCTCCCATATATGTGCTATAATCAGATGTAAACTTGGGGGTTATTTGCTTGCATGACTTGATCTCATGTAAGAACCTTCCTTACGGCCCAAGGGTGGGGTATGATTGTGAAATTATGTTGGTTTTTGTATCAGATCTATCAGGTGTTATCACGTATTCCACTCGCAGTGAATTTCTCCTAACTAGATGATTTTCTGTGTATTTCCTATGGATTTTGATGTTTGCTTCAATGATTGAAGGTATTAACCTGCAGTAAAAAAAGAAGCAAGAAGAAAACAACTCCTGAGAGTTGGTTTGCCACAAAGGACATAAGACATATAGTAAGAGTACATGTGCAGATAAATAGGGAAAGAAATGGCACTGGTGTTCATCACCGTAAAAATGTACAATCTCCTTAGCTGCTTGTTTTCAGGTTCTTTCATAAAACGTTTTCAAGAAGAAAAAAGCTTGACAACTGAATTTCCCAAATGATGAAACAGCTTGCTGTTGCATTTCAGGTCTTACAAGTTGATTTTGCTGAAGGCCTGTCTCAAACAGCCCTTGGCCCCAGAATTTTGTCTTGAGATGGGGAAAAAAAAAAAAAAAAAAAAGGAAGGTTGAGTCTTGATGTGTAAAAGAAAATTTCAAAAAGATAATTCTTGAAAAGGAGTTTACCTGACATAAATACTGAAGATTCACAACCACTTTTATTTTTTAAAGTATGTTGCTTTTTTCTAAGGTAGCGAATGTAAGGACACCTTACACTGGTTCACATAAACACATACCCTCAGCATTGACAAAATGCAGCCCAGCAGGATGACAAAGTGGGGACTTCAGTGGCATCCTTATGCTTCAACTGAAGAACGGATAAGTGAGCATCCACTGTTGTACCTACAAGAGCGATTGTAAAACTACCATTACATTAATGCCTTTATGTCCTTCAAGCAATGTCATTCTGACATGATGGGGGCACTATTTATTAATTTTGGTTTTTTTGTTTATTTGTTTTTGTAATAAATCATATTGATTCCAAGAAACAGCCATAAGCACTTGTTTTTCATTTTGAAACAATGGATGAGCAAGTATTTTTAACATTGTTCTGGAACACTGGGTTTGTTTAAAACCTGGTATTACGTGCACTTGATTGTCATAGGACTGGGATGAACTCTTATTTCAGGGCTAAATTCTTATTCTTGATTTTTATGTTGGAAAGCATGAAGGTTCTAAAATTATCAGCAAAAAGAAAAACAATAGAGTTGACTCAAAATCACCCTTCAAGTTGATCACTAATTTTGTTCCCAAACGCAAAGAGAGACATAAAAGTGGGGCAAAAACAGATGTAAAAGTTTGATTCAGGCAGAATGAAAAAGATTCTGGGGAACAGCAGAATGACTAATGCAAGGCTAATACTCTCTTAAGAAGAGAGAGCGTGCACAGAAAGTAATGCTTGCAGCATTAGAGGAGAAATGCTATTTGAACCAGCCTACAAAACACAAGCAAAGTGAGTTGGACGGCTACATGTCTAACTGCTGGCACAGACACTGAACAATTTGTGCCTTTGAAAAGGACTGTTACATTAGTACAGAGAAAGGCTATTTTTATGAGTGTCCACAGCCAAAGAGAAACCTTACACCTGCAGGGGCATGATGTTCATGCATTCTGCTCAGAGAGATATTTCAACAGCAGCCTTTAAGCCCAAAGGGCCATTATCAAGAAGATGTTAAAAGAGAGATTCATCCATGGTAGCGGGAGCTGCAATTACTGGAAAGGCTTATTCGTTGCAGCTGTTCAAGAGATAAATCCAGACACACATTGGGGCTGATTCACCTCGGCATAGATACCATTAAAGATATGTATATGTATATGATTTTGTAGTCATTTCACACCAATGAGCAGCTAGGTCCCTCCACACCACTCTTTCACTCTCCATCCTCAACAGACAATAATGATGAAAAAGGGTTAGTGGGCTGAGATAAGGACAGAGAGATCCTTCACCAATTACCATCACCAGACTCAACATGAGAGAGACTGGTGTAGTTTATTGGCTGCTAATAGCAGACTAGAGCAGCGAGAACCAAAAGCAAACTAAAACCACTTCTCTCCACCCACTTCTCTTTCTTCTCCCAAGTGGTGAAGGAGAACAGAGATTGGGGGCTGCAGTCAGTCTGTAACACTTTGTCTTTGCTGCAATTCATGGTTACTCTCCAACCCTGCTCCAACATGGGGTCTCTCCCACAACTTTAGTTTGAGCAAATACAGTGCTTGGGATGCACTGGCATATAGCTGGCAAAAATAGCTTATGGAAAGATTTTTTCCCCTTTTTAAATAATAGAACCATATGAAAAGCAACTGCAAGCACCAAGTTATATTACCAACAGTCATCAAAAGGAACATTATATTGTTAATCTTGCCATGATTGACCATTGTCACAAAAACTATCCAGCTACTCCCAGACAAAGTAGGAAATGCAATAGTTCAAAACTAAGCAGTCACCATGATCCAAGGAAAGAGCTGTACATCCAAGAACCTGAGCCCTGTAGCCAGAAGCATGACATCTCAAGGTCCAGTGACAGCCAGTCATGGTAAGGAATGAAGTGTGCAAATGATATGAACTGGGGAGGGCAAACTGAACAGCAGAGAAGCATCAGTCGATTTTCCACAAACCCCAGCACTGCATGGAAGTAGGATCAATGAAAACACTTCCAGAGAAATATATCTAATGAAAACATGGCATTTTACTGAAATGAAAACATTTATTAAAATATGTTTCAAAACACTATGTTTTTCAAGTGAAAAGCCGAAGCAAGTTTCTATTCTTTGTGGCCAAAAATATTTCCTTTGTTTTCCAGGCTGAGTTTTCCAATGTGAAGTCGGTACTTCCCAAACAGTCACCTCTGATCAGTCATTAACGCATTTAGTCATAGCTCTTACTAAAAACAGAGGTAACCTTTAGGAATGCTTCCGGTCAGATACCATTTCTTTGAAAAGAAAAAAGTTCAATAGCTCTTTCTGGAGTGCAGAATACAATCATGAATGCAGGAAAAAAAAAAGAGGACACTGAACTGCACTGACTACTGTCCCAAGAGGGACACTCACATTGGAAGCTGAGATTGTTCTGATCATCCTCTGCTTTTTATTAGTGACATTCCTGTGATTTCAGTGACACAGACTGACATGTCACCTCAAGTCATGGCTCCTCTCTATTGCAGGAATTCCATTCCTTTCTTGCAAGTTCCACAAATACACCCTGAAATACTCCATTTCCCCAATTCCTGCTACACTGTCTAGAAAAGAATCACAGAATCACAGAATCATAGAATCACAGAATTGTAGGGGTTGGAAGGGACCTCCAGAGATCATCGAGTCCAACCCCCCTGCCAAAGCAGGTTCCCTACAGCAGGTCACACAAGTAGGTGTCCAGGCAGGTCTTGAACATCTCCAGAGAAGGAGACTCCACCACCTCCCTGGGCAGCCTGTGCCAGTGCTCCGTCACCTCACTGTAAAGAAGTTCTTGCGCACATTTGTGCGGAACTTCCTATGCTCCAGTTTCTGGCCATTTCACCTTGTCTTGTCTCCACACACTGCTGAAAACAGTCTGGCCTCAGCACTCTGCCCCCCACACCTTAGATATTTATAAACCTGGATCAGGTCCCCTCTCAGTCTTCTTTTCTCAAGGCTGAACAGACCCAGTTCACTCAGCCTTTCTTCATAGGAGAGATGCTCCAGGCCCTTCACCATCTTTGCGGCCCTCCGCTGGACTCTTTCCAAGAGATCCCTGTCTTTTTTGTACTGGGGAGCCCAGAACTGGATGCAGTACTCCAGATGAGGCCTTACCAGGGCAGAGTAGAGGGGGAGGATCACCTCCCTCGACCTGCTGGCCACGCTCTTTTTAATGCACCCCAGAATGCCATTGGCCTTTTTGGCCACAAGGGCACACTGCTGGCTCATGGCCAACCTGTCATCCACCCAGGTCCCTGCAGAACTCCTCTCCAGCAGCTCATCCCCCAACCTGTACTGGTGCATGCAATTATTCCTCCCCAGATGCAAGACTCTACAGTTGCTTTTGTTGTACCTCATCTGGTTTCTTTCTGGCCCAGCTCTCCAGCCTGTCCAGGTCTCGCTGAACGGCAGCACAGCCTTCAGGCGTGTCAGCCAATCCTCCCAACTTCGTATCATCAGCAAACTTGCTGAGGGTGGCCACTATCCCCTCATCAAGGTCACTGATGAAGATGTTGAACAAGACCAGACCCAGCACCGACCCCTGAGGAACACCGCTAGTTACAGGTCTCCAGCCAGACTCTGCACCACCAACGATGACCCTCTGTGCTCTGCCAGTCAGCCAGTTCTCAACCCACCTCACTGTCCACTCATCTATCCCACACTTCCTCAGCTTTGTTATAAGGATGCTGTAGGAGACAGTATCAATTGCCTTGCTGAAATCAAGGTAGACTACATCCACTGCTCTCCCCCCATCCACCCGGCCAGTGACAACATCATAGAAGGCTACCAGGTTGATCAAGCATGACCTCCCCCTGGTGAACCCATGATGACTACTCCTGATAACCTCCTTCTCTTCCAGCTGTCTGGAGATGGCATCCAGCACAAGCTGTTCCATCACCTTTCCAGGGACAGAGGTGAGGCTGACTGGCCTGTAATTACCTGGATCTTCTTTCTTGCCCTTTTTGAAGATCAGAGTGACATTGAAGAAAACAATCAAATCAAAGCCTAAAAATCTTCTGCTGTGTAATCACAGGTGTTTGGACAGCTTACTGAGGCTTATATGTGGGGAACTAAGGATTAACTCCCCTTTCCATGTTTCATTTTAGCTGGTAAACAATGTAGAACATGATGTTCAGGTAAGGAGCTGGCTGGAGGGCCGGGCTCAGAGCGTGGTGGTGAATGGAGTTAAATCCAGCTGGCGACCAGTCATGAGTGGTGTTCCCCAGGGCTCGGTGCTGGGGCCTGTCCTCTTCAACATCTTTATTGATGACCTCGATGAGGGCATCGAGTGCACCCTCAGTAAATTCGCAGATGACACCAAATTGGCTAGAAGTGTGGATCTGCCTGGGGGTAGCGAGGCCATACAGAGGGATCTGGACAGGCTGGAGAGCTGGGCTGAAGCCAATGGGATGAGTTTCAACAAGGCCAAATGCCGGGTCCTGCACTTCGGCTACAACAACCCCAGGCGACGCTACAGGCTTGGGGCGGTGTGGCTGGAGGACTGCGTAGAGGAAATGGACCTGGGGGTATTGATTGATGCTCGGCTGAACATGAGCCAGCAGTGTGCGCGGGTGGCCAAGAAGGCCAATGGCATCCTGGCTTGCATCAGAAACAGTGCTGCCAGCAGGAGCAGAGAGGTGATTGTTCCCCTGTATTCAGCACTGGTGAGGCCGCACCTCGAGTACTGTGTCCAGTTTTGGGCCCCTCACTGCAAGAAAGACATTGAGGCCCTGGAACGTGTTCAAAGGAGGGCAACAAAGCTGGTGAGGGGTCTGGAACACAGGCCATATGAGGAGAGGCTGAAGGAGCTGGGAATGTTCAACCTGGAGAAGAGGAGCCTCAGGGGAGGCCTCATTGCTCTCTCTTCCTGAAGGAAGGTTGTAGTGAGCTGGGGGTCGGCCTCTTCTCTCGTGTCATTAGTGATAGGACCAGGGGGAATGGCTTCAAGCTACGGCAGGGGAGATTCAGGCTGAACATGAGGAAGTATTACTTTTCAGAAAGGGTGGTCAGGCACTGGAACGGACTGCCCAGGGAGGTGGTGGAGTCGCCGAGCCTGGGGGTGTTCAAGGAAAGACTGGATGTTGTGTTGAGGGACATGGTTTAGTAGGAGCTATTGGGAATAGGTGAACGGTTGGACTGTGTTGCCTTTGCTTCGGCAACCTCTGATTAAT